CCAACTTTGATTACAACAAAAACATACCAAAATGGAAAAACGTAAAGGTATATTCAATGATGTTCTTCTTCTGGGTGGATCATCTACATAAGTGGTCCTCCTAATCGTCAATCATTCTGGTGATATGCTTACGTTCGGCCCGTCCTATGTGCTTGTCCCCATTTTCTCTTGCTAGTGGTAAGTCTAACATAGTGGAAAAAATTGTAAATCTTTGTTTGGAAAGTATATACCTGACCTATACCTGACTAAGGTTTATACCTTTAAACCTTCTTCTAAAATACGTGTAAGAGTCTAGTTAAGTCTCACTGCCACTGAGATTCTTTGCAGCTGGGACTCTTGCTTCACTATCCCAGCCAAGCCCACATGGCAGCCTCCCAGGGACTGGCAACTCAAAATAAAAGTATTAGTTTAAAATAAACCATACAAGCAAAATGTAGTAAATTATTCAACCAAATGTGTGCACCCAAATAGTTAACCAATTCCAAATCACAAGTAAAAAAAATAATCAAAATCAATATGGTTAACAAGTATAAAATGCTACATTTAAATAAAAAGAATTACCAGACCATTTATTGTTGGGCCGCGCATGCTGCCATTACAATCATCATCAGTCATTTAGGTCAACATTGCATTGTTCAGAAATCCTCACTGAACTTTTGGAGAGAGTTTGCTGCACTGAGAGTAAAGGGGCCGATAAATTTTGCACGCCCAACTCTTCACTTTATTTGTTAAAAAGGTTTAAAACCGTACTTTTGCATGACACTATTTGATAAATTGTTTGATTTAAAGGCTGCAAGGGGCTTTTGGGCAAACAAATGACATGCATATTAGTACAATAAAAGTACAGAGGCCACTGGGGGGGTTTTAAAGCAGGGGGGCTGTTGCCCCCTTGCGATTTGCATCTGTATAAATATTGTATTGTTTTCACATTATATAACGAAACAACTTTTATATGATGCTGTCCAACAACAACAAAATGATACATAATGTTTGAGTACATTAAGTACAAAGGATTTTAATATCAGTACAAAATGGAAACAGGTTGAGGCTAAACATGTGGTTACAAAATAGGGGGCAGGCAGGGTCGACTGTACAATTGTGTGGATTGTATTTATTAAGGGAGGTTTTCATCAATGTACAATTACAAGGTAAAACATGATATACACTAGAGCAGAAAAAGAGGTTTACAGAAAAAACATAGACTCTGAAAGCAGTTCTAATTGCAATATTTTTTTATTCCGATACTAGCTGCCTTAAAAAGTTAAAAGCAATGTAAATTTAAGATGATTTTCCTCTGTTTTTTATGTAGTGCTGATGTATGCCAACCAGTGAGTCTGCTCTGTTTATTTAAAGGAAAAGTCTGGTCACATTCAGAATTCAAACTTCTGAAAGTACTTTAATTATGAAATTATTACATACTGTTCAATAAATGATAAGTGCTTTTAATTAAGATTAATTTCATTTGTATGTGCTTTACTGTAGACATCCATGTTTGTCAAAGTGCACTACTGCCACCAACTTTGTGATGTCACAGTGTGGTATCGCCTCTTGAGCAAGTCCCAGTGCTGTATCTTGTTTTTCTCACTACGCGCTATTATCCACGATGGTGACAACCAGTGCACTATACAAAGCAGAGAGTAACGATTTAATGACTTGTTTTTTCTCTGGCCAGAAGTTGGTGGAAAATCCTCCCTCTTCAAGTTGGCAATCCAACAACGAACCAGTGGTGGATCATGAATTGGAAAGATGAAATAACAAATTTTTTTTCACTTTTACCCGATGTATTACAACCAAGTGCTATGCACGCAGGCATTGTCACTTTTATAGCTCTCGTGAATTTCAATGGTGAAGTCCTCTCGAAAAATCTTAAATAATTGTTGTTGATTGCAGGTGTGTCTAGTAGTTCCCTTTGATTTTGCTTATAAAGCGGGGAGAATGGCCTTCGGCTTACCGCACAGTGACGTCACTGCCGGATGATGTCAGAAGTGACATCATCGTTTTACTATATTTGGGCAAAAATGGCCATGCCCGCCACGAAAAAATATTGTTTTATTTTTTTACTGATTAACACTAAATTCATTAAATCATCGCTAACGTATTACTTGTAGGTATATTAGCGTTATATTTATTTTTGATGCCAGCACATATAGGGATTAAAGGAAATTAAATTGCAGATAATATTGCTAAGGAAGCATCACAAAATAAAACCATTGATATGATGATTAAGTTAAGTAAGAAAGAAATTAAAAGTATCATTAAACAAAGGATGAAGGAAAGGTGGCAAAAACAATGGGAAAAAGAAAGGAGAGTAAGATGGTTTTATAGGATTCAACGGAAAGTCTGAGAAATGAGGATAGCAGAAGGAAGCAGAACAGAGGAAACAGTTAATTCAAGACTTGGATTTGGACATACAGGATTAAATAATACACCATTCAAAATAGGGAAACATATGTCAGGCAAATGTGAATATTGTGGACAAGACGAAACAGTAGAATATGTAGTGATGTGTTTTAAGAAGCATGAAGAAGAAAGAAAGAATTTGGTTAGAGACCTAATTAAGGAGAAAGTTACATTTAATTAGATAGATATTCTGCAGAAAAACTGAAACAAAAGTTATCAATGCTTATTTAAATATTTAATAATAACAGGAATAATTAGGAGGATTTAGTATTTGTAAAGTAATATTATAGATATATATATATATAGATAAATAAATTTAAGTATGAATAGAGCCATTCTGATCCACACTCCTCACCAGTTGGTGGCGGTAATGCACACCGAAAAGTTGTTTGCTAACCGCCATTAAACGCAACAAGACAAGACAAGACTTTTAGGTATAAATAATTACCCATTGGTTATTCCTTGCTGACTGGACTTTTCCTTTAATCTTACTGTGAAGTGTTGTTATGGACTCTGTTCTTAGAGAGCCACCTTTATTTCGAACCCATTGTGTTGGATAAAACAATAGGCCTATTTCTGCTGCTGACTTAATACTGATTTCTTGCAGACAATATCTTAAGTGCAGACTTAATAGAATTGAAAATAAACATTATGCATAGCGGCTCGGCGTTCTGTACACAGGGGCGGAGCTAGATGGGGGGCTAGAGGTGGTCATGGCCACCCTTAGCCAATCATTGGCCACCCCAACCATTTTTTCCCTCTAATACAGACGGTGGAAGCAGTAATACTCTCAACTGGAGTATTCAAAACATACATTTTTTTTTTAGATTAATTATACACATCAATATACTAACATTAAAGATGATAAGTACAGAATTCATGCTCTTTTCAGAACTAGATTTTGTGTTATATGTGGTAAAGAGGAAAAATATGTGTCTCTGCCAGTCATCAAGGAGTCTTCAGTGAAAACAAAGATAAATAAGAATTTTAATAAAAACTTTTATGTAGATATTAGTGATTGTAAATGTAAATTTTATGCAGAATGTCTTTAATACATGTAGGTAAGTAATGACAATGGAAAAGATTTATGCCCAAGAACTTAAACTGGAATTTTATCCACTATACCTTTTATCTAGAAATTATGGATGTTTAAATATATTTGTTAGCAAAGGCAGTGGCGCAAAAACTGGGTATGCAGTGCATGCAACGCATAGGGGCGCTGCACTTGAGGGGGCGTCAAAAAATCCCTCTAGAAAATAATTTTTTCTAGTTGTCATTTTCTATATTTAACAGCATAAAATGATCAATAACAGAGAGACAGCACTGATTATGCGCCCCCTTTACCTCCCCTCCTGTCGCATTCCCTTCCCACACAGGTGGCTTGTGCACACGCCCCTAAGAGGCGCACTCAGGCAAGTTTTTTTTTTTTTTTATCCTCGACTACCACTCGTAGTGCACACTTAACAGCAAGATGAAGCGCCAGAAAAAACAACTATCCGGGGCGCAAAACAGAAAAAGAAAATGGGAGAAGGATAAAGTTGTTGGCGGGATGAAAAAAAGTCTTTCAATGTGGTTGAAAGACAGTAGGTAAGTTCTGTCAGTGTATCAACAACAGGACAGGAGGGTTGTAAATATTCAGGTTAGATAAAGCAAGCCTGATACGGAGTCGTCCCATATTTGGCTGGTAAATGTTGCCTCCCCTTTTGAAGCGATAAGGAAAGCGATTTGTTCCGTATTTCTAGGAATATCTGATACATAACTGTAACACACACATATCCACACACTAAGTGTAAGAATGACCGAAATAAAACTTGTGAAATATTAACACAGGAAAGCTAAAATGTCGTGTCCAGTGCCCAGCTATGGTCCAACGCTTAGCCCTCTATGCTGCAATTTATTCACTCATATGTATATTTCTTATTAGTGATTTTTTTTTATTAAAGATGAGTTGTACAAGTTTATGTGTGTATCAGACACATTAATCCAGTGTCATTATAGCCTTAGACTCAAGAAGGTCGGTGACCCATGTTACCAACTTTTTGGGCAGGGGGACACTTGAGTTTAAATGTTTTATTCGGTATTCAGTATCACTACAGTGGTGTTGTGGTGTATCTGATAAGTCAGATCAGATGCAGTATCCAGTCAGTAACTGCTATCCAACAAGAAGATCATTCAAATTTAAAGATTAATTTTTATTGTGGTTTGACTGCTGTATTTTTAACCCTACTTAACATAAAATTAATTTAATTCAGCTGTGCGCCGTGTGGGGCGCCGATTATGTGTTTTCGCATCCACCTCAAAAATATGTAGTTGCGCCCCTGAGCAAAGGCTGTAGGAAAGTATAGTTTGTTTTTATTTAGAAAATACGGATGTTTTGCTCGTTCATTTTCCTGTTGGAAAAGTGTAGATTGACCCTGTGTTGGCCCCCCCTCAGTGTACATTGCTTATTGCCTGGCCACCCTTATAGAAATGTTCTGGCTACGCCTCTGTCTGTACAACAGATGGAAAGGAAGCAACTTTTGCTCTGTGCGCGCGGGGTTGTTAAAGGAGCGCACTGCGCAGCCAATCAGCTGCAGCCATTGCTCAGCTCTGTTAATCGTGGATTAGCCACAACCGACTGCAGTCCACAGCACAAGGAGGAAGATAGTCACTGCCACTCACTACTCAGCCTCTCCATTATTATTAGCTCCCTGTCTGCAGCTGCGACTTTGCGCAACTGAATCTACCCAAGAGCACAATACGGATCTCAGGTAAAAAAAAAAAAAAAAAGGTTTAGAATAGCAGCAGGAAAATAAGATGGACCCATTCGCTAAGGAGTAGTTCAGGTAGGATTCATAAGATGGCCCTTTAAATTGAAACCCCGCATCTTGGAAACATCGCTCCGATTTTATTTTATTTTTTCCTTTCCGCTCCATATGTTCAAGACGGTCAATTATCCGGCGGTGGATCCCGCGTCCACCATCATGCACGGCGCCTGGCTTTCCACCGGGTGCCGAGAAAGCATGCCCGTGGCGGTGGAGAAACCCAAGAAAAAGGCGTTCAGCCTGGTCAAAATAATGTCCCTGACTAACAAGAAGGACCACGGACAGAATGCGCACCAGCAGCAGCAGCACCACCACAACAACAACATGCCGTTCACCATCCACTGTCACATCGGGAAGGAAATCAAGCACATTTGCAGCAACTGCAGCCGTGGAAACAACACGCAAGACGGTGGGTAGGATGTGTGACTGCGCCCTTAGCTGGCCGGGTAGGGTGGCTGTGCGCCTCAAGGCTCTGGAAGGGCGTTTGGTAGCAGATCTGTCACCGTGCTGAGCTCTAAAACAATTAACTGCATCATTTTGGGTGGTCTGTGAATAGAGTTATTGTAAAACACACCCGGTTGAACTAATCTTGGTTTGAAAAATCTTTTTTATGTTTTACTCTGTGATGCCATCCCTGTGGCATGCAGCCTTTACAGCGTGTTTGCTTCAAGCCTTTGCCAATTCAAAGTAAATGGATCATCACTCAGCCATCTTGGTAAACAAGTGTCTTTGATTAAAAGTTGGCCTAATGTAGGGATCTAACAGGAGTAGGATGTAGATAGCAGTCTTAAAGTGAGAGAAAATGCTGTGGTCACTTATAATCAGTCTTGGTAGGAACTCAGGTCTTTTTTTTAAAGTCCTAAATATATCATCATTTTCCTTTGATTCTTGCAAAGTGAGTCCCTGTCTCATCTGCCAGGATTTTAAGTAGATTGGAACATTTCCCCATCACCGAGATGGTTTTCTGTTTAAGATGTTCCAGTTTGTTTGTTTATTTAAAGAGACCTTTTCGTTGAATAACAAACAGAATGAACATTTTCATTACTTCAAACTGATTTCAGAACTACTCTAACAGCCTTTTAAGCTGTTTGATTTAAAGGAAAGCTCTATGTTCAAATCTATAATAATAATAATAATAATAATAATAATTGAACTTTATTGATCTAACATTGGAGAAATTCACTCTCTGCATTTAACCCATCCCCTTTGGGGAGCATTGGGCACCCGGTTAGCAGTGTGCGGTTAAGGGTCTTGCTCAGAGACCCAGAGTGGCAGTCTGTGGGAGTGGAGCTCAAACTCCGAACCTCAGGATTCCAAGCTCTATGGCCTAACAACTAGGCCACCACTCCCATAAAATCTTTAAGCTTTCTCTCTCCGATTCCTTTCTGAGAAGATATCACTAAGACAAACACTTTAATAACAGAATATGTTTCAAGTATTAAATTACTATGCAACATGACAACAGATTTTGACAGAAATTGTTATCATGCCCAGAGGAATTACATTTCTACTGTCAAACCTTGTCAAGTCCTTAAAGCTCACATCATTACATCATCCACGTTTGTCCATCAGGAGACTTCACTGGCTCTGGCCACATCAAGATATTACACTCTGTTCTTAAGGACATCCTAAATGCACAGAGACAGAACTATCTGTTAAGAATGATCCACTCTGTCTGTATGCTCCCATTTCCTTCCTGAATCTTTGTGACGTACATAATGAAGATGATTACTTTTTATCCTGACCAATTAACTGACCTAATTAGACAAACTGCTTGGGAAAACATTCGCTGTAACATGTAGCAGGCAGGTAATATTGGGGTTTAACAAGCACATACATGAATAATGAAAATAATCCTAACAGATGTGCCAAGCCATCCTTTGGGGTGTCTATAAAGTTTCTAAAAATATGGCATACCCGTCACGTGAGTGTTTGAAGTTACGCTGCTTCGAGTTGTTTTCTTTTTGCCTTTAGACCTTTATTAAAGGAAATGCAAAAATCAGCAGCGATTATGAAGTTATTTATAGACTGCCAGACAGGGAAGATTGCATTCAAGTACCAATCTGTTGGACAAATGTGTGCTCTGCTTTACTGTCGCCTCATTTATCCAGTTGTCCCTTTTCCTCAGGGAAGAGGCTGCCTTGTAAAGTGATTATTTCTGTTTTGGCAAATAGTCTTTTATGTTGGGATTAACTAAAAGGATGTCACGGATTGAAATCGGATCCTACTAGAGGTCATCTTGACTTTTAATATTATTATGGCTGTATCTTTTTAGGACATTAATATTTTGTTATGAATAGATCACAGAATCATATTGCAATTAAAGCCATAACTAGATCATCTTATTCAGCAGCCCAATCCTCTTGCATTGTAAAAATCAATCAATAGTACACAACTTTATGCAAAATGGTATATACCAAAAGAACATTTAAAGGTGGAATACTAATAAAGACTGGATATTTTATATTTTCCTTTTTAAATAAATAAATAAATAAATAAAAAACTTCTATCTTCATATGCTGATATATTGCCATTTAAAAACACCATATCAATCTCTTTTACTAATGAAATATTGCTATATGTCATCGCTATGCTACGAAATCCCCCAAAAATTCACAAAATTTTGCCATATTTTTATATGTTGATATATTGACACGGTATCGATCTATTTTACTAGCAAAATCTCACAAGAATTTGCAAAATATCACGAGAGTTTGTAACAGAGCGATGAAATTTCACAAGATTTTGAAAATAAAATAGATCGATACCGCGTTTTTAAAAATCAATTTGATATCAGCATATGAAAATATATTTGAGAATATTATTTTTGAAAGTGTCAGAAATGGATAACAAAACTGCTATTTTCAATGACTACTTATTTTTGTCCAGCTTTAACATCAGTATCGATATCGGTTATCGGCTACATGAGTTTTAAAATATCGGCATATCGGATATCGGCCAAAATCCCAATATCGTGCATCCCTAATTTAAACATAAGCATTTCCTTTAAAAAGGTATTTTCTATGTGTATATATTCACTTTAGGGCTGCAACTAATGTTTAATTTGCAAATCTATTAATCTGTTGATTGTTTTTTCAATTAATAAGTGGATAGCCAAAGGTTCCTTAAACAATATTTTTTTACTAAATTAACCTGGTGAAACCAAAACTTTTCCACTTGAGTTCTGGATTGAACATATTGACAGACGAAAAAGTTGTTTATCTTAAATGCAAAATGTTAACATATTTTTTTTTACAGTTTGGATATAATTACTGCTTTATATGGATTGCTCTGTTAGCTATGTTTTTCAGTCTCTATACTCTACTTAATGATTAATCGATTTCTGAAATAGTTGGCGATTATTTAAATAATCGATTAAATCGATTATTTCAGCCCCAATTCAATTTATACAATTTCTCACCAGACAACCAAGATAGATGAAAATACTAATGCCTGATTTTATAAAAAACAATTTTGTTAAAGATGAATAAAACCAAGCACTACGGAGATCTCATTATTCTACAGTACCCCTTGACTGAGTTTAAGCCAATCAAAAATACCTTGCAAAAGAAAGCTTTGTTAAATAACAACCATATGTAATTTCAGGGAACTTAATAGGATTGGCCAGGACAAATTTTTGTTTTTTAATATATGTATTGTTTTATTAAGCAAAAAGTCTAATTTGTGGATAAGCAGTTGCATATCATCCCCATCACACCAAAATAAAGGCAATTTTGTAAAGCAATCAAAGAGGGGTTATTTTTGAATGTTACCCCAACCTTATAGACATGACAGAAAATCTAGAAAAATGTAATCCGTTGATACCAAAACAGACGTTGCATGTCAAATTCTATATGATGCAAAAAAAAACAAAAAACTATGCCTTAGCCAACCCCCACAGCGGAAAAATTGTGGGAGCAGCATCATGCTGCGTCGATGAATTTGTCCCATAGGGACAGGAGAAGTTGGTCAAAGTTTATGCATGAGCTAAGGTTTAAAGTAGGGTAATCCTGTTAGAACACAGTAGGCATGCAGCAACAGTGGAGAGGAAAACTCATTTTAACAGGAAGAAAACAGCAGAACCAGGCTTAGTGTGAGTGTTTTTCTCTGGCGGCTGACTGTGAGTTTCAGGAGATTGTCAGACACACAAAAGTGACTTTGAATTGAAAAGAAGGCGCTTTAGTAAATCAGCTCTAGGCCAGGTTTCAGGCCACAAGGGTGATGGAGAGCAAATTTAGTTAGTTGCAATATAAGCTGCACCAGTAGCCAACTGTACAATTTGTATTTAAAGGAATAGTACACCCAAAACATGATTAGCCTTCATTTTCTACTCACCCCATGCTGAACAACACTCTGGAGTACTTTTTTGATATCTCAAATGCATCTGGAGATCTGGGAGGCTTCTTGCTGTCTGCTGACATTCAAATAATGGAGGTCTATGGTGCCTGAGACAGAAATGTCCATAAAAGTCCACAAAAAACGTGTCAATATTCCTCAATACTGCTCGTCCAATGTATTCCAAGTGTTCTGAGTGGGTAGCATCCAGAATTTACTCGAAACGAAGTCATTTAGAATGTTTTTAGAGCATAAACAGTAGTGTATAGGATTTCCTGAAAGCGCGCACATGTGCGTTCACGAGCCTACCACACTTATAGTATACCACACTCAACGTAGAATAGATGAAGTGAAGGAAAGAGTTGCCTTTGGAGATTAGAAAGAAAATGATAGACAAGCATGTTAAAGGTAAAGGCTATAAGAACATTTCCAAGCAGTTTAATTTTCCTGTAACTACAACTGGACATATTATCCAGAAATCTATGGTACAGGGGACTGGAGCATCCCATGATGTGGCCACAGGAAGATAATTGATAAATCAAATAGACGGTTTTATGTATGGTAAAAAAAAGACCTCACAAAAATTCAGAAGAGATTAAAGATAAACTCCAAGCTCAAGGGACAACAGTGTCAGATTGGGCCATCCAGTATTGTTTGAGATAAAATGGACTTAATGGGACCAAGTAGGACACCAAAGTTAAAAAACAATTCATTTAAAAAAAGTGGAATTTGCCAAACTACATGTTAACAAGCCACACATAATGTTCTATCAACAAATGATTTATAACTTTTTAACTTTTTACCTTGGCACATCAGCTCTTTGTTCACAGATGGGGGAACAATGAAGCATATCAGGAAAAGCACAACGTTGCTACTATGAAACATGAAGGAGGCTCTGTTATGTTTTTGGGCTACTTTGTTTCATCTGGTACATTGTGTCTCGGCAGTGTACAATCAAGACCATCAAGGGATTGCTGAGATAAATGTTCTGCCCAGTGTGAGAAAACTTGGTCTTGTTGCAACTTAGTCATGGTTCTTGCAACAGGATCATGACCCCAAAACACAGAGCTAAAAACAACCTATGAATGGATAAGAGGAGAACATTGGACCATTCTGAAGTGATCTTCATGGGTCCTAACCTCAATCCTATTGAGCCTTTTTGAAAGGAGCTGAAACTTGGCTTTTGGAAAAGGGCGCCTTCAAACCTGAGACATTTGGAGCAGTTTGCTCATTAGGACTGGACCAGAATACCTGCTGAGAGGAGCAGAACTCTCACTGACAGTTACAGGAATCATTTGATGCAGTGATTACCTCAAAAGGTTGTGCAAAAAAATATTAAGCTAAGGTTACCATTATTTTTGTCCAGAACTATTTATTGAGTTTTTCTGTTTTGAATCATTTGATTGAAGCATTAATTAAAAGCAATGTCTGATTTATTTATTTTTTTATTATTACTTTTGTCAGGTTCAAGTTATTTCTGTGTGGGTTTTTACTTAATTAAATGAGGGGTTGTTTGTCTATGTCTATAGCTCAGGGTAACCAAAGTTACTAGAACTATTAGCTTTATCAAAAAGGACAGTTTTAAGGCCATTCTTTAAAGAAGACAGGCTGTCTTCCTCGCAGACTAAAACTGAAAGTTAGTTTCACAGAAGAGGATCTTGGTAAATAAAATATCTGACATCCATTCTACTTTGGGAAATTCTAGGAACTAATTGTAAACCTGCAGTTTGCTGTTTTTACAACATAAGGAAGACTCAGATCTCTGATATAAGATGGAGCTTGGTTATTTAGGGCTTTATGTATGATGATGATTTGGTTCATTTCCACTGTGAAGCGGCACAAATTTTTGAGACCTCTGATTGGTGTAACTGTGTGTCGTTACCACCACAGTGAATAATGACCTTACTCGATTTAAAATTGTAAATGGCCTGTACTTAGCATCTTTTCAAGTCGGGGAACTCCAAATTGCTTTACAATACAATCTAAATATGTTTATATAGGATTAGAATATATTTTGCAGAGTAAAGAGAATAAAGATCAAATAAAGAATGTTTAAAATTGCGCACAGATCACCAAATGCAGCATCAGATGAGGACCTGTCACAATACAAATAAGCCTAAACATCAAGCCAGGGTTCAATAGAATGGTTTAGATTGAAACATATCCTTCTTAGAATTACCTGTGAAGGATGCTATATTTCTGGGTGGATCATTAAGGTAAGTGGTCCTCCTATTTGTCAATCATTCTGGTGATATGTTTACCGTATTTTCACGACCATAAGGCGCACCGGACTAAAAGGCGCACTCTCAGTTATGTGTCCCATTTCTGTATTTAACACACACATAAGGCGCACCGGACTAAAAGGCGCACTCTCAGTTATGTGTCCCATTTCTGTATTTAACACACACATAAGGCGCACCGGACTATAGGGCGCGTTTTTTATATACAGGTGCATGTCCTCTACTACCTTTAAATACCTCTACTGCGTATTTAAAAATACAGCGGGGGCAAAACTGAGTATGACTGTGCTTTATTCATGTATTTATTACAAAGTATTAATCAAACCTGGCAGCTGGCCGTGAGACAGACCAACATCGCAGATGACACAGTGCTGTGGTCACTCCTAAATTAACTTAAAATCCTGAAACCTGCTGACGGAATATGTTCGCTTTTATTGCCGGTATCCTGGTGCCTGCAGCTAAAATTATTTAGATGAAAAACACCTGCCAGCAGCCGCGGTGAACCCCAGGCTGCCCAGCCTACAGGCTGCTGATGAAGAGATTTCTGCTGTCAGCGCACCGCTGGTATGTGGGGGTCTGAGCGCCTCCGACAGAAATAGATAATCTGGATGAACTGACTGCAATTATTAAGTTTTCAGGTGGACTTTCTCACTTAAAAACATATTAAAACTACTTTATTCCCACTGATCACAGCAAATATAGCTGCAAGATTTAGATTATTTAGATGAAAAAACACCTGCCAGCCACCGCGATGAAAAGGAGGAGACGCGCCGGGGCTGCTGTTGAATTAAGTTTTCAGGGAGAAAAATACAGCGGGAGCAAAACTGAATATGATTGTGCTTTATTCATGTATTTATTACAAAGTATTAATCAAACCCATCAAAGTCATCATCCTCTGTTTCTGAATAAAACAGCTGCGCTAAATCAGACATGCCAGTTTCCCCTTCTTCGCTGTCAGTCACTTTCCGTGCAGCGCGGCTCCTCAGAAATAATGCCGGCTTTTGCGAAAGCTTGAACAACAGAGCCAGCAGACACTTTAGTCCAAGCATCTACAATCCATCCGCAAACTGGCGTAATCTGCCCGGCGCTGCCTTCTTATCCTGAAACTGTGGTCTCCGTCTGTCATCCATCGCTCCCACGCCGCTCGCAGCCTTACTTCGAACGGCTGCTTCACACCGATGTCGAGCGGTTGAAGTTCCTTTGTCAGACCCCCGGGATAACGGCGAGCACAGCGTTCATTTGATTCACCTTTTTTCACATCGGCTGTGAGATGGGCACGCAGCGATGGTGATGCGTGGAAAAAACCACCTAGTCTTCTCACATACACCTGCCTCAGCCAAGCATCCATCCAGCCTTTTCCATTTGCGTTAATATCATATGTCATCAGAGCGCTGTCTGTCTCGCTGGCAGCTCCCAGATCAGCTTCTCTGATTGGTTGATGCGGCGCGTCCAGCAGCAAAACTTCAATTTTTCCATCTCGAGCAGCAGAAGCGCGGCGCTTCAGATGCTTAAACGCTCCCGACGTGCTGCACCAAAATGCGCTGCGGGACCTTTTGCTGCACCTATATGCGCGTCAACCATTGACTTTGCATGTAAACTCGCTGCTTCTGCTGCACCTGCTGGGTCCGGTTCACACCGATGTCGAGCAGCGTTAATTTGTTTCCCCATGTTTTTCACATCAGCTGTGAGATGGGCACGCATGGAGTTACATATTAACAGCGATGGTGAGGGGTGGAAAAAAAACACCTGGTCTCCTTACATTCAGCCACTCTTTCATCATCTCCTCAATGAGGTGGTCTCAAAAGTCGCAGTTACAACACACATAAGGCACACCGCACCATAGGGCGCACCGCACATTTTGAGGGAAAAAAAAGACGTTTAAGTGCGCCTTATAGTCGTGAAAATACGGTACATAAGGCCGTCTTACGTGCTCGTCCCCATTTTCAATTACCGGTGGTGAGTCTGATATAGTGGAAAAATTGGAAATCTTTTGGAAAGTAAGCTTTTATGAGCGACGCAAACAGCAACTTTTAAACAGAGCGTGCATAAGGAGAAATTGGCTTGTGCACGCTCTTGCATGCAATTAATAGACGTTTTCTCTCTGGAGTGGGTACAGGGTTGTGCATGTGCTTTTTTTTTGTTAAATTGGAGAGGGTGCGTCTTTTCAAGAATTCGTGAAAATCTTCCATTATACCTTTTAATGCAAGTGGAAATCTATGGCAACAGTTAAAAGGAGTGGTAAAAAGTGGTCACTAGATGTCCAAAACTGTTAGACGTACTCTGTATAACTACAGAGAAAGGCAATTCTGTTTTATTTAAACTATTTAAAGGTAATGCATTTTTGAGTTTTTGGACATCTGTTAGTAAAAAAAAAAAATTACAATCCAAGGGTCAGGAGGTTGTAATGAGGATGCTGTATGTATGTTATCATGTCCATCTCACCTGTATCTTATCGGGGGTTTTTTTTTGTCTTGCTAAAATATTAGTTTCTTTAGTCTCATTAATTTGGGGGTTTGTAATTTTTTGCAGTTGCATCATTTTTTCTGTGTAACAGTTTGTGTTGGGACAAAATGCCGTTCATTCTTTTGCGTTTGATGTAAGACGGTTTAAAGTCGGTAGGCTGGGCATCGTGAATATTTCATGAAGAGCTGAAAAATTCCCTCGGTAATGAGTTGCTTGTCAGTCTGCTTAGTGTGTTTTTCCTCTTCTTTTTTCTGAGACACATCAATTGCTTGGAACGGGGTGCAGCCTCAAACTGTTTATACTCTGAGTGCGTTCTGCATAATGATATCTGACGTGCAGGTTTGTTTATGCCCTTTGTTCAGTCTCATTAAGTTACTACAGATTTCAAGAGGCCACTTGGCATGCATCTCTTACTGCTTGGAACTTTCAAAAAGCAAAATCATTTGTTTCTTTCAATTCCAGGTTTTTTGTTTGCACAACAGTTTAGCAGAACGCCACTCATTAATTCATTAATTTGTTTAATCATTTATTTACAGCTGAGGAAGTAGAGCGGCTGTCTGCCATGCGTTCAGAGTCCCTGGTCTCTGGCACACACACTCCGCCCATCCGTCATCGGAGCAAGTTTGCAACTCTTGGAAGACTCCTCAAGCCCTGGAAGTGGAGAAAGAAGAAGAGTGAAAAGTTCAAGCAGACATCTGCAGGTAAGTTTATTTATTTTTTCTTTCTAATTTAATAAAAAAAATGTTATTTCTACTGGATATTCTTTTATTTTTATATGTATTTTCTTATTTTGAGGTCCTCTTTAAAATGCAGCCCAGCTATATTCCGGCCTTAGTTGTGTCTGTGTGTATTTTTATTGCCAAACACATCCTGAATGCTGTAAATGTATTTTTTCAGACTGTACTTCCTAGTCTGGACAATGAACTCTTGCCTTTAGAGAGGCTGAGCAACTGATCTAATTCCAGGCTGAACAGGACAAGCTGTTCCGATTCTGTGATGCAAAATTTACGGTTCCCCAAAGTGAGTTTGCTGAGTAATTTGGCCTCAAGCTAATTAGATCATCTTCTCCTTATAATAACAGCTTTGATTTTCATTTCATGCCTTTCTCCCAAACAGTATTTCACCTTTTGGTCCACTCTACTTTCCCCCTAAACATTTGGCTAGATAACCCTTTTCATTGGCCAACACTTTTTTTTTAATCTGAATTGTTGAGCGTTCAGCTTGACAAAAATGAGCTGAACAAAAGCATTGGACAGCTTTAAATGCTTCTATTTGATGTTTTACCGTATTACACTAGAGAGAGTGCATGGGATAACAGTGTTGGAGTTACTGTAAATCCTTTCTTTGGTACATTTATGCATGCTCTATGATAAGAGCATCTCTCTTTTGTGGTGAAGGACAATAATCAAGAACTAAGCAACAAAAGATGCTTTTTATCCCTGGTGTTAATACACAGCAGAGCTGAGAGAAATGGCTCTTTTCATGTTTTTGTCATCCACTTGTTTTGTTTGCATAATGCTGCAGTCCCCAAATAATTTTGGTGCCTCTATTGTTCACATTGAATCCTCTTTCAAAGGCAGTTATAACCTGCCATGTCTAACTCCACTGCCTCAAAGTAAAGTTTTGGGTTTTTTTTGTGATAATTGGTCTCCCAAGTAGCTCCCAAAGCTCAGGCAGCTGCTAAGGCTGTGGTAGAGTTGTTGTGCTTCAACAGGGACAATACCCTGGCACATCGGTTTTAGACTGAAACATGAAACAAACTCTTAACCCCCCCGGCCCCACGTTGAATGGGATGTGACTCTTTTGCTTCCAGCAAGAAGTGGGCCCAGTGCTGCCTCTTGTTGCTATAGAAAGAATCCTACAAACTTCATTAAACTTACAAGAGATTTTCCAAAAACCTACTCGATACATTCCTGACATTTTACTACATTTTATCCTGGAATCATCCCTATGAGACTTTCTCCAAACATAGAGAATACTTTCTCTGAACTTACTAGTCTTAAATGCACCCAGTAACATCTGAGGAAGTTCAAGAATTAAACCAACAGATGGACATGGGGAAGGAAATGGTGCAGAAATTTCAGAAATTTTTTAGGGATTGTAAAGGCGTCTGCCGTTTAGGGGGCGTTCCACCAAAAGAGATTCTCAAAGTATGATGGCATAGAGTAAAAAAAAAAAAAAAAAAAGGAGCAAACAAAAAGCAAAAGCATTTAATTTAAAATGTTGAACATTATCTGAATAGTTTTCATACCTACTGCGGGTAAAATGATCTAACATTTTGTCAAGGTTTTATTGACATTTCTTATGCCCGAGTTAACAGTAAAAGAATTGACAAGTGCTAATGCATATCTTAGCCTTATAGTTTATTGAAATTCATGCAAGGAATGTAATGCATAAACTTCTAAACCTGAAAGTTTTGCAGAGCAGAAAAAAAAAAAAAAAATGGCACCTTGGTTTTCTAACAGTTATGAATATTTTGTCCCAACCAGAGTTTCTAACAGGATAGCTAAGTTAACGTGTTTAAGAAAATTATTATAATGTTTTGACATTTGGTTGGCTTTGTATCACCCAAAACAACTTTTCTAAACATTTACTGTATCATACTAGACACTGATTGCCTCGGTTCAATAAAAAAATATTTATTGCCTTCTCCTGATGTTCAATCTGCACTATCCTGCAGTTGTAGGAGATCGTGTGCGGATAAAAGTTTGAGATGAAATCTCCTATTTCAGAACCTGAGGGCTTAACGCTACAGTTTAATAACTAGTGCCTATAGCCAGTGCTTCCTAACCCTGGTCCACAGGGGACACCTGTCCTGCATGCTTTAGGTGAATCCTTGGTGCACCAGAAAAGAATGGATGAATAACAGGTTTCTGCAGCACATGATTGCAATGGAGGAGCCCTAACTTGAATCAGGTGTGCTGGAACAGAGGCATTTCTAAACCATTCGGGACACGGTTCCCTGAGGACCAGGGTTGGGAACCACTGGCCTAGGCTATGTGCAGCAGAGAAGGAACCCCTCCAGCTCCTGTCTCACTCACACAGCTCAACTTCTATACTACTACATATAGCCACTAAAGCTCAACCAATGCAGGCTTTTTAAGTTCAGTGGTAACACCAATGTATTTTTTTTTTATTGACCTCAGTCTTGCTGATACCTAAATTGTTTTTGTCTTCACGTTTGCCCTTGTAAACATAACTGTATATTAGAATTCCTGCTTGAACAGAGAGTGAACTAGCAGCCGCCTATGCAGATGTTAGTGTGGATAATTGGATGTTGAGCTCTATAGAGGATTATAAATGTGGCATGATATTAAGTTGATGAATTCCAGCATGGAGGGATCACAATCCTCACCTCAGGACAGATGAAGGAAGGGCCCAACTGTTGCTCCTGTGATCATGTCGCCTTGTAGCGGTTTGTAGAGTTTTCTCAGCAAGCTTGTATCAGGAATAGATCTAAGCCTTCAGATAACAGGCAGCTGGTTCGTCTGATGTTATCTCGGCTTCTTATTTTTAATCTCATTAGCAGATGAACAGCAAACACCAGGGGCAATGTTGTGCTGGCTTTAATAATACATGTGAATATCAATGACATATTTCATATGTTCAGTCTAATAATGTAACTATATGTATGTCGAAAAGAATGGCAGGTCTTCTGGAGGTGCAGAAGCTTTGCTTAGACAGAACTTATCAAGATTAGCGCTTTAGCTCCCTGTTGATAAAATACTCCATAAAAGTTTTAATGCAGTTTTTGTACCGCTTACTTTGAGCTACTCAGCCTCAGGGTTGGTAAAATATGTTCTATCTGGGTCACTTCACAGTGGAATATCCTTGCCTTTTTTTCCCTTTATTCTAAAAATCCAAGTGCAGCACTTAAATCAATAGAGAGGAGGTTGGATTTTGCGGCTGCATTTATTATGCTCTCAATAGAGTCTCCTCAGTAAGTGTCTTTTCTGCTCTCCGTAGAACAGATTTGATTTTCCAGTCTGTTTGACCTGTACACCGATTGAGTAATGGCATCCAGATTACCTTTTTTTTTTATGGTCGAAATATAAAGCTTTGATGCTGTTTGTTTCATTTTTTTTATCAGTTTTTTCATTTAGTTCAGTAGTTTACAATATCTTCCATTATTCTCCCTTTAAACCTTCAAAGTTTAGAAGCACATGGTTCATATCATTGCTTGAGGTGACATGGATGCACATCTGTAGTTTGTTTTTTAATGCAGACTGAACACACTGCTTCCTTCAGTGACTTGATTATAGAATGTACAGCCATCAGGTTTTCAGTACAAGACCTGATGATTTTTGAATCAAAATTATTTTTCCATTTTAATTATAACAGTATATTATGTAAAACATTCTGAGGAGATACAATAATTGATTTGAACCTCACTCTCAGGTGGGGCTGGGCATGTGTCTACTTCAATTTTACCAACTGTATCTTATCCTTCCTAAATGCACATGGTCTGTTTGTCCGATCTGAATGAGCGTTTGTGTTAATTATATTGCACATCCCTTGCCCATGACTGCTATGTTAGGAAATCTTTAACAATTGTTTTTAATTAAATAGGAAAAGAACAATTGTTTGCACCATTACACTCCAATTTATTTAATTTTCTACCTGCCCTTGGTTTACCCTAATTTGGTAATCTGCTCAGGTTTTTGCTTGGTTTTTCAATTAGTTTGCACTTATGGAAATGGGGGAAGTCTAATTTGCAGTTAAGGCATTTCTTTGGTACAATTTTGGTTGCTAATCTGGATTACCCCATTCTCTAATTGTAATGTAAGCTTGGATATCAGACATGTATATGTAAAGGAGTGAGTTTGAAAATGTGTCTAGCCCCTGAAACTGCAAAGCGGGACCCTGGCTCTCACAATAATGCATCATGTTGTTGTATAAAAAGAAAAATAGTCAAGTGGGGTCTGCAGAGGTTTACATGAATTCTTCATCCAGCGGTGCCATATGAAGGAGTTTGCCCAGAAACCGGTGGGTTGTCGGTTCAAGCCCTGGCTCCAGCGTACAGTGTCCTTGTGTCTTTGGGCAAGACACTTCACTTGATTGCCTCCTGATGGTGGTCGGAGGCACTGGAGGCAACAGTATACGGCAGCCTCACTTCTGTCAGTGAGCTGCAGGGCAGCTGTGGCTACAATGTAGCTTGCCATCATCAGTGTGTGAGTGAATGGGTGAATGACTGCATATGGTGTAAAGCGCTTTGGTCAAATCCTCTGGCTTGTGAAAGCGCTATATAAGTACCGTATTTTCACGACTATAAGGCGCACTTAAACGTCTTTTTTTTCCCTCAAAATGTGCGGTGCGCCCTATGTGTGTTGTAACTGCGACTTTTGAGACCACCTCATTGAGGAGATGATGAAAGAGTGGCTGAATGTAAGGAGACCAGGTGTTTTTTTTCCACCCCTCACCATCGCTGTTAATATGTAACTCCATGCGTTCCCATCTCACAGCTGATGTGAAAAACATGGGGAAACAAATTAACGCTGTGCTCGCTGTTCAACCGCTCGACATCGGTGTGAACCGGACCCAGCAGGTGCAGCAGAAGCAGCGAGTTTACATGCAAAGTCAATGGTTGACGCGCATATAGGTGCAGCAAAAGGTCCCGCAGCGCGTTTTGGTGCAGCACGTCGGGAGCGTTTAAGCATCTGACGCACCGCCAACGTGGTGCTGCTGCTCGACATGGAAAAAT